TTTGACCAAATGGTATTAGCTTAATTTTGGGAGCTTTACTAAAACAACCTTACAAAGTTGATTTTTGACCAAAATGATGATATTCTTTGAAAATTACTCAAACAACCTTGAAAAACTATTAATACCCGTTTTAGCCTTATTGATGGTTCGCGCAATGGTAGACTTATTTATAGTGGTGGTANNTTTATAANATNNGGTAGACTTATTTGTANTAGTGGTAGAGTTAATTTTGTGATCGGTAGACTTATTTCTAGTGGTGGTAGAGTTAATTTTATGATCGGTAATCGTAAACTTATTTATAGTAGTGGTAGATTTATTTTTGAGTGATAGACTTATTAGTAGTAGTGGTAGAGTTAATTTTGTGATCGGTAGACTTATTGATGGTTCGCGCCATCGTAGACTTATTTACAGTAGTGGTAGATTTATTTTTGAGTGATAGACTTATTAGTAGTTGTGGTAGAATTATTTTGTGATCAGTAGACTTATCGATGATTCGCGCAATCGTAGACTTATTTATACTAGTGGTAGAGTTATAATATGTGGTAAACTTATTTATTGTAATTGTAGATTTATTTAATCTTTTCACTTCTTTACTAAAACAACCTTACACTTATTTATAGTAGTGGTAGATTTATAATATGTGGTAGACTTATTTCTAGTAGTGGTAGAGTTAATTTTGTGATCGTTAGACTTACTGATTGTTCGCGCAATCGTAGACTTATTTATAGTAGTGGTAGATTTATAATATGTGGTAGACTTATTTATAGTCGTGGTAGTGGTAGATTTATAATATATGATAGACTTATTTATAGTAGTGGTAGACTTATTTATAGTAGTGGTAGACTTATTTATAATAGTGGTAGATTTATTCAATAAAGGATAAAATCGTAATTTATCTTTCATCTTCTCCACAAAACACCAAGCTTTTCTCAAACCCTAACAATGGCGGCCATCCATTTTTAGCTCGTTTTTACTGTATTTTAACTCGTTTTCAACTAGATTTTGCCTAAAACTAGTAGATTTAACATCATATATCTTTTTTCTAACAAAAAATCAAAAGATTTTGAGTTTTTTTCCAACTTTTGATTTTTAATCCGATTTTTACCTAAATTCCGGCCTCCACACCTCCGCCGCATCTCCGCCGAGCACAATCCGGTGCTTCCGCAGCCTACGCGGCCGTGGTTTCAAACAAATGTTTGA